TTGAAAAACTGTTTTGTGTTTTTCGAATCGACTCTGAAGATGAGCAACGATTTTTTTTGTCGACTGCATCGACGAGGCATTTTCATTTCAATCTCGTATTCCGAACAAATTTCAGAAACTTTTTGATAAACAATTTGGAAGCATAAATCCTCGTTTTCACGCTTTTACTTGGCGTCGTTCAAAGCATCATCAGCCAATTTCATGGCCTCTCCCAGATCTTGATTTTGCAATTACAATCTCAACTCAATCGGGACTCGGATCGGATTACAATCGACTCAATTTTACCCAAAGCGGGAACACCATCACACTGCACCCCTAAGGACTTCAGACCTATAAGCCTGTCGTCCTTCCTCCTCAAGACAATGAAGAGACCCTCCACATTAATCTTTCCATCAACCCAGATGATATCTCGGGATCACAGCATGCGTATAGGAAGGACCGATCCACGGAGACGGCACTCCACGAGATCACTTCGTTCGTCGAAAAGGCACTTAGTGACAAAGAATACGCACTCATTGCTTTTCTAGACATAGAAGGTGCGTTCAACAACATCCTGCCATGCTCGATAATCAATGCAGAAGTAAGTGTTCCAAGCAGAAGTAATAGCTATCGGGAAAGCACTATGATCTCCAGCACTTACTGGCAATCAAGACACAATCTGTATCTTTTCAGACAGTCAAGCGGAACTCAAAGCCCTTGGCGGTTTTTCATCCAACTCTAGGACAGTGAATGACTGTCGCAGATCTTTTAACGAGATGGCAGAACAGCATATCATCCACCTCATATGGTTGCCCGGACATAGGGACCACGAGGGAAGTTGCGCCGCTGATGAACTAGCAAGGGCAGGTACTACCAATCCTCTCCTCCCAGAGAAGGAACTTGTAAGCATTCCCTTAGCTACGTGTAGGCTAAGATGCAGAGATCACTTTGACCGCGTTGCACTGAGGAAATAGAGAAATCTCCAAAACTGCAGGAACTGACGCATGATATGGTCTATCCGCTCTAGGAAAAGATCAATGATGCTTATCACTCTCATTAGGCAGGACTGCAGTCTTGCAGCCAAGGCCATCACCGGGTATTAGTTAATAGGAGCACACGTGGCTAGATTAGCGGTGCCACACTATGATTACTGCAGGAGCTGTGGGGATGTAGAAGAGGAAGAGACAGCCGCACACCTCCTGTGTCATTGCACTCACGGACCTAACACACCTCGCTCCACGCAGACTTGTTACCTTCATCCGGGAAGCTTGATATGACCGCGAGCCGCCGCAGGAAAAATAGCACACTCTTGGGCACATTAGTAGATAGGAGGGGGAGGTCCCCTTGTAAGACCTCTTGCCTATGCGGTATCATATGTAGCCCCGGCGGCTCAAGTGGATGGGGGTGTCAGTGACTGGCCCCGCATCGTCGCCTCAACTTAACATAGCTCATTTCTATTGTCATTGTATTTGTTCTTTGGTTTGTAGTTTCATATCAAAGAAAAATTTAACTTGATAATCTGAAATTTGGAATTTTGAAGGTCAATGTGTATCCGAAGTAGAACTTACCTACACCATTTCAAAGGGATGGCAGTCATATTTTTTTATCCACCTAGTTTCAGCTCCCTTATTGAACAACACTGCTTTTTTTTTTTTGTTAAGCTTTCATCTATAAGAAGAGCTACAGCTTCATCGGTCCATACTTTCTCAGGATTGAAAATTATGTCTTAGTAGATTTCGGATACCTTTCGGATAAGTTAACTAATAAATTCTTCTAATTTTCTAAATTAAAGGATCTGACGTCAATCCAAATATAAAAAAAAGTGCAAAAAAATGTGCGTTCATTTAAAAGAGAACGAAACACAGTCAAAATTTATTAAAACTATTTTTGTTACTCCATTTGAAAATAATACTTTGTTAACTAATAACTTCTTCTAATTTTCTAAATTAAAGGATCTGACCTCAATCCAAATATAAAAAAAAAGTGCAAAAAAGTTTGCGTTCATTTAAAAGAGAACGAAACACAGTCAAAATTTATTGAAACTATTTTTGTTACTCCATTTGAAAATAATACTTTGTTTTACCTTTTTCCTTTTCAGGGGGTACACAAATACACACATTTCAAAAACAACACAAACAATTCTTACAATTGACACCAGTGGATCCACGAGGGCGGGTTTTCGGGTCCGGACCCCCCCCCCATGATATCATATACTTTCAAATTTTATGCTTTTATTGGGCATTTTGGTGAAGTTGAAACAAAAAATATTAATAGAAATTCGTAATTTATTGAATTTTTTACACAAATTTTAATTTATTTTCGAATAGTTAATGCAATAAAAGATAATAACAAAGAAGATAATTACGAATTTAATCAATATGACTGATCAAGAAAAAATATATGATGCACAAACGATTCTAGTCGCTCTTAAATTTTCTTATGTTTTTTAAAAAACTTTCTAAGAATTTCGTCTTCAGTCAAAGTTATGCGATGATGAATGTTCAAAGATGCAAGACCATTGAGACGCTCTTGACCCATCGTGTTGCTCAGATAATCATTCTCCTCAAAGTAGAAAATGATCGTTCTGAAGTTGCTGTGGTCACGGGTATCACCGCCAAAACTCGTAGGATTTTGTTGACGTTTTTGAAAGTTCTGCCATTTAAAATCTGCAAAAATTCCTTCTATTTATATTTTCAATGGATATTATTTACTTTACTTTGTTTCAAATTGCACCAAAAATATCTCTTACTCAATTAATTGTCAATAAGTCGTGGTTTAGTAATTAGTAATTTTTCTCTGATTCTTTTAAATTAAAAAATTTTGTTTTTAAATTAAATAGAAAATAAATGATAATCTATTAGTATTATAATCAATCAGATTTTTTGGTACAATATATGAGAAACCTGGCATTATTTTTTAGCCAACTATTATCTGGGAATTTGGGAGATACTCACTGCTAATGCATCAAGTGCATTTTCGATGTTTTGATTGCAGATCCGTTGTCTCCACATTTTGACTTATGAAATGAAATTACTCTCGGAACAATCCAGTATTACATCGTTAAATTGGTAGAGGCTTGCACATTTCTTCTCTTCGAATCCTTGTTTGAGGAATAGCTGTCCAAAACTTTGAAAAACTGTTTTGTGTTTTTCGAATCGACTCTGAAGATGAGCAACGATTTTTTTTGCCGACTGCATCGACGAGGCATTTTCATTTCAATCTCGTATTCCGAACAAATTTCAGAAACTTTTTGATAAACAATTTGGAAGCATAAATCCTCGTTTTCACGGTTTTACTTGGCGTCGTTCAAAGCACCATTAGCCAATTTCATGGCCTCTCCCAGGTCTTGATTTTTCATTTACAATCTTGACTCAATCGGGAGTCGGATCGGATTACAATCGACTCAATTTTACCCAAAGCGGGAAAACCATCACACTGCACCCCTAAGGACTTCAGACCTATAAGCCTGTCGTCCTTCCTCCTCAAGACAATGGAGAGAGCTTCCACATTAATCTTTCCATCAACCCAGATGATATCTCGGGATCACATCATGCGTATAGGAAGGACCGATCCACGGAGACGGCACTTCACGAGATCAATACCTTCGTCGAAAAGGCACTTAGTGACAAGGAATACGCACACATTGCTTTTCTAGACATAGAAGGTGCGTTCAACAACATCCTGCCATGCTCGATAATCAATGCAGAAGTAAGTGTTCCAAGCAGAAGTAATAGCTATCGGGAAAGCACTATGATCTCCAGCACTTACTGGCAATCAAGACACAATCTGCATCTTTTCAGACAGTCAAGCGGAACTCAAAACCCTTGGCGGTTTTTCATCCAACTCCAGGACAGTGAATGACTGTCGCAGATCTTTTAACGAGATGGCAGAACAGCATGTCATCCACCTCATATGGTTGCCCGGACATAGGGACCACGAGGGAAATTGCGCCGCTGATGAACTAGCAAGGGCAGGTACTACCAATCCTCTCCTCCCAGAGAAGGAACTTGTAAGCATTCCCTTAGCTACGTGTAGGCTAAGATGCAGAGATCACTTTGACCGCGTTGCACTGAGGAAATAGAGAAATCTCCAAAACTGCAGGAACTGACGCATGATATGGTCTATCCGCTCTAGGAAAAGATCAATGATGCTTATCACTCTCATTAGGCAGGACTGCAGTCTTGCAGCCAAGGCCATCACTAGGTGGTTAGATTAGCGGTGCCACACTATGATTACTGCAGGAGCTGTGGGGATGTAGAAGAGGAAGAGACAGCCGCACACCTCCTGTGTCATTGCACTCACGGACCTAACACACCTCGCTCCACGCAGACTTGTTACCTTCATCCGGGAAGCTTGATGGGACCGCGAGCCGCAGGAAAAATAGCACACTCTTGGGCGTTCATTTAAAAGAGAACGAAACACAGTCAAAATTTATTGAAACTATTTTTGTTACTCCGTTTGAAAATAATACTTTGTTTTACCTTTTTCCTTTTCAGGGGGTACACAAATACACACATTTCAAAAACAACACAAACAATTCTTACAATTGACACCAGTGGCGGATCCACGAGGCGGGGGTTTTCGGGTCCGGAACCCCTCATGGTATCATATACTTTCAAATTTTATGCTTTTATTGGGCATTTTGGTGAAGTTGAAACACAAAAATATTAATAGAATTTCGTAATTTATTTTCGAATAGTTAATGCAATAGAAGATAATAACAAAGAGGATAATTACGAATTTAATCAATATGACTGATCAAGAAAAATATATGTTCCACAAACAATTCTAGTCGCTCTTAAATTTTCTTATGGTTTTTAAAAAACTTTCTAAGAATTTCGTCTTCAGTCAAAGTTATGCGATGATGAATGTTCAAAGATACAAGACTATTGATACGCTCTTGACCCATCGTGTTTCTCAGATAATCTTTCATTCTCCATTTTCAAAGTAGAAAATGATCGTTCTGAAGTTGCTGGGGTCACGGGTATCACCGCCAAAACCCGTAGGATTTTTTTTGCGGTTTTTGCAAGTTATTCCATTTATGATCTGCAAAAATTCCTTCTATTTAGATTTTCAATGGATATTATTTACTTTACTTTGTTTCAAATTGCACCAAAAATATCTCTTACTCAATTAATTGTCAATAAGTCGTGATTTAGTGATTAGTGATTTTTCTCTGATTCTTTTAAATTAAAAAATTTTGTTTTTAAATTAAATAGAAAATAAATGATAATCTATTAGTATTATAATCAATCAGATTTTTTGGTACAATATATGAGAAACCTGGCATTATTTTTTAGCCAAATATTATCTGGGAATTTGGGAGATACTCACTGCTAATGCATCAAGTGCATTTTCGATGTTTTGATTGCAGATCCGTTGTCTCCACATTTTGACTTATGAAATGAAATTACTCTCGGAACAATCCAGTATTACTTGGTTAAATTGGTAGAGGCTTGCACATTTCTTCTCGTCGAATCCTTGTTTGAGGAATAGCTGTCCAAAACTTTGAAAAACTGTTTTGGGTTTTTGGAATCGACTCTGAAGATGAGAAATGTAGGTGTCGAGAAAAGGTATGTAAAATGCGATTTTTATTTCAATCTCGTATTCCGAACAAATTTCAGAAACTTTTTTATAAACAATTTGGAAGCATAAATCCTCGTTTTCACGCTTTTACATGGCGTCGGTCAAAGCATCATTAGCCAATTTCATGGCCTCTCCCAGGTCTTGATTTTTCAATTACAATCTTGACTCAATCGGGAGTCGGATCGGATTACAATCGACTCAATTTTACCCAAAGCGGGAAAACCATCACACTGCACCCCTAAGGACTTCAGACCTATAAGCCTTTCGTCCTTCCTCCTCAAGACAATGGAGAGAGCCTCCACATTAATCTTTCCATCAACCCAGATGATATCTCGGGATCACAGCATGCGTATAGGAAGGACCGATCCACAGAGACGGCTCTTCACGAGATCACTACCTTCGTCGAAAAGGCACTTAGTGACAAGGAATACGCACACATTGCTTTTCTAGACATAGAAGGTGCGTTCAACAACATCCTGCCATGCTCGATAATCAATGCAGAAGTAAGTGTTCCAAGCAGAAGTAATAGCTATCGGAGAAGCACTATGATCTCTAGCACTTACTGGCAATCAAGACACAATCTGTATCTTTTCAGACAGTCAAGCGGAACTCAAAGCCCTTGGCGATTTTTCATCCAACTCCAGGACAGTGAATGACTGTCGCAGATCTTTTAACGAGATGGCAGAACAGCATGACATCCACCTCACATGGTTGCCCGGACATAGGGACCACGAGGGAAATTGCGCCTCTGATGAACTAGCAAGGGCAGGTACTACCAATCCTCTCCTCCCAGAGAAGGAACTTGTAAGCATTCCCTTAGCTACATGTAGGCTAAGATGCAGAGATCACTTTGACCGCGTTGCACTGAGGAAATAGAGAAATCTCCAAAACTGCAGGAACTGACGCATGATATGGTCTATCCGCTCTAGGAAAAGATCAATGATGCTTATCACTCTCATTAGGCAGGACTGCAGTCTTGCAGCCAAGGCCATCACTAGGTGGTTAGATTAGCGGTGCCACACTATGATTACTGCAGGAGCTGTGGGGATGTAGAAGAGGAAGAGACAGCCGCACACCTCCTGTGTCATTGCACTCACGGACCTAACACACCTCGCTCCACGCAGACTTGTTACCTTCATCCGGGAAGCTTGATGGGACCGCGAGCCGCAGGAAAAATAGCACACTCTTGGGCGTTCATTTAAAAGAGAACGAAACACAGTCAAAATTTATTGAAACTATTTTTGTTACTCCGTTTGAAAATAATACTTTGTTTTACCTTTTTCCTTTTCAGGGGGTACACAAATACACACATTTCAAAAACAACACAAACAATTCTTACAATTGACACCAGTGGCGGATCCACGAGGCGGGGGTTTTCGGGTCCGGAACCCCTCATGGTATCATATACTTTCAAATTTTATGCTTTTATTGGGCATTTTGGTGAAGTTGAAACACAAAAATATTAATAGAATTTCGTAATTTATTTTCGAATAGTTAATGCAATAGAAGATAATAACAAAGAGGATAATTACGAATTTAATCAATATGACTGATCAAGAAAAAATATATGTTCCACAAACAATTCTAGTCGCTCTTAAATTTTCTTATGGTTTTTAAAAAAACTTTCTAAGAATTTCGTCTTCAGTCAAAGTTATGCGATGATGAATGTTCAAAGATACAAGACTATTGATACGCTCTTGACCCATCGTGTTTCTCAGATAATCTTTCATTCTCCATTTTCAAAGTAGAAAATGATCGTTCTGAAGTTGCTGGGGTCACGGGTATCACCGCCAAAACCCGTAGGATTTTTTTGCGGTTTTTGCAAGTTATTCCATTTATGATCTGCAAAAATTCCTTCTATTTAGATTTTCAATGGATATTATTTACTTTACTTTGTTTCAAATTGCACCAAAAATATCTCTTACTCAATTAATTGTCAATAAGTCGTGATTTAGTGATTAGTGATTTTTCTCTGATTCTTTTAAATTAAAAAATTTTGTTTTTAAATTAAATAGAAAATAAATGATAATCTATTAGTATTATAATCAATCAGATTTTTTGGTACAATATATGAGAAACCTGGCATTATTTTTTAGCCAAATATTATCTGGGAATTTGGGAGATACTCACTGCTAATGCATCAAGTGCATTTTCGATGTTTTGATTGCAGATCCGTTGTCTCCACATTTTGACTTATGAAATGAAATTACTCTCGGAACAATCCAGTATTACTTGGTTAAATTGGTAGAGGCTTGCACATTTCTTCTCGTCGAATCCTTGTTTGAGGAATAGCTGTCCAAAACTTTGAAAAACTGTTTTGGGTTTTTGGAATCGACTCTGAAGATGAGAAATGTAGGTGTCGAGAAAAGGTATGTAAAATGCGATTTTTATTTCAATCTCGTATTCCGAACAAATTTCAGAAACTTTTTTATAAACAATTTGGAAGCATAAATCCTCGTTTTCACGCTTTTACATGGCGTCGGTCAAAGCATCATTAGCCAATTTCATGGCCTCTCCCAGGTCTTGATTTTTCAATTACAATCTTGACTCAATCGGGAGTCGGATCGGATTACAATCGACTCAATTTTACCCAAAGCGGGAAAACCATCACACTGCACCCCTAAGGACTTCAGACCTATAAGCCTTTCGTCCTTCCTCCTCAAGACAATGGAGAGAGCCTCCACATTAATCTTTCCATCAACCCAGATGATATCTCGGGATCACAGCATGCGTATAGGAAGGACCGATCCACAGAGACGGCTCTTCACGAGATCACTACCTTCGTCGAAAAGGCACTTAGTGACAAGGAATACGCACACATTGCTTTTCTAGACATAGAAGGTGCGTTCAACAACATCCTGCCATGCTCGATAATCAATGCAGAAGTAAGTGTTCCAAGCAGAAGTAATAGCTATCGGAGAAGCACTATGATCTCTAGCACTTACTGGCAATCAAGACACAATCTGTATCTTTTCAGACAGTCAAGCGGAACTCAAAGCCCTTGGCGATTTTTCATCCAACTCCAGGACAGTGAATGACTGTCGCAGATCTTTTAACGAGATGGCAGAACAGCATGACATCCACCTCACATGGTTGCCCGGACATAGGGACCACGAGGGAAATTGCGCCGCTGATGAACTAGCAAGGGCAGGTACTACCAATCCTCTCCTCCCAGAGAAGGAACTTGTAAGCATTCCCTTAGCTACATGTAGGCTAAGATGCAGAGATCACTTTGACCGCGTTGCACTGAGGAAATAGAGAAATCTCCAAAACTGCAGGAACTGACGCATGATATGGTCTATCCGCTCTAGGAAAAGATCAATGATGCTTATCACTCTCATTAGGCAGGACTGCAGTCTTGCAGCCAAGGCCATCACTAGGTGGTTAGATTAGCGGTGCCACACTATGATTACTGCAGGAGCTGTGGGGATGTAGAAGAGGAAGAGACAGCCGCACACCTCCTGTGTCATTGCACTCACGGACCTAACACACCTCGCTCCACGCAGACTTGTTACCTTCATCCGGGAAGCTTGATGGGACCGCGAGCCGCAGGAAAAATAGCACACTCTTGGGCACATTAGTAGATAGGAGGGGGAGGTCCCCTTGTAAGACCTCTTGCCTATGCGGTATCATATGTAGCCCCGGCGGCTCAAGTGGATGGGGGTGTCAGTGACTGGCCCCGCATCGTCGCCTCAACTTAACATAACTCATTTCTATTGTCATTGCATTTGTTCTTTGGTTTGTAGTTTCATATCAAAGGAAAATTTAACTTGATAATCTGAAATGACCTCCAAATGTGTATCCGAAGTAGAACTTACCTACACCATTTCAAAGGGATGGCAGTCCTTTTTTTTATCCACCTTGTTTCACTAGGGAAAAATATTATGCTTAGCTAGCTCCCTTATTGAACAACACTGTTTTTTTTGTTAAGCTCTCATCCATAAGAAGAGCTACAGCTTCATCGGTCAATACTGTCTCAGGATTGAAAATTATGTCTTAGTAGATTTTGGATACCTGTCGTATAAGTTAACTAATAACTTCTTCTAATTTTCTAAATTAAAGGATCTGACCTCAATCCAAATATAAAAAAAAAGTGCAAAAAAGTGTGCGTTCATTTAAAAGAGAACGAAACACAGTCAAAATTTATTGAAACTATTTTTGTTACTCCGTTTGAAAATAATACTTTGTTTTACCTTTTTTCTTTTCAGGGGGTACACAAATACACACATTTCAAAAACAACACAAACAATTCTTACAATTGACACCAGTGGCGGATCCACGAGGCGGGGTTTTCGGGTCCGGAACCCCTCATGGTATCATATACTTTCAAATTTTATGCTTTTATTGGGCATTTTGGTGAAGTTGAAACACAAAAATATTAATAGAATTTCGTAATTTATTTTCGAATAGTTAATGCAATAGAAGATAATAACAAAGAGGATAATTACGAATTTAATCAATATGACTGATCAAGAAAAAATATATGTTCCACAAACAATTCTAGTCGCTCTTAAATTTTCTTATGGTTTTTAAAAAAACTTTCTAAGAATTTCGTCTTCAGTCAAAGTTATGCGATGATGAATGTTCAAAGATACAAGACTATTGATACGCTCTTGACCCATCGTGTTTCTCAGATAATCTTTCATTCTCCATTTTCAAAGTAGAAAATGATCGTTCTGAAGTTGCTGGGGTCACGGGTATCACCGCCAAAACCCGTAGGATTTTTTTTGCGGTTTTTGCAAGTTATTCCATTTATGATCTGCAAAAATTCCTTCTATTTAGATTTTCAATGGATATTATTTACTTTACTTTGTTTCAAATTGCACCAAAAATATCTCTTACTCAATTAATTGTCAATAAGTCGTGATTTAGTGATTAGTGATTTTTCTCTGATTCTTTTAAATTAAAAAATTTTGTTTTTAAATTAAATAGAAAATAAATGATAATCTATTAGTATTATAATCAATCAGATTTTTGGTACAATATATGAGAAACCTGGCATTATTTTTTAGCCAAATATTATCTGGGAATTTGGGAGATACTCACTGCTAATGCATCAAGTGCATTTTCGATGTTTTGATTGCAGATCCGTTGTCTCCACATTTTGACTTATGAAATGAAATTACTCTCGGAACAATCCAGTATTACTTGGTTAAATTGGTAGAGGCTTGCACATTTCTTCTCGTCGAATCCTTGTTTGAGGAATAGCTGTCCAAAACTTTGAAAAACTGTTTTGGGTTTTTGGAATCGACTCTGAAGATGAGAAATGTAGGTGTCGAGAAAAGGTATGTAAAATGCGATTTTTATTTCAATCTCGTATTCCGAACAAATTTCAGAAACTTTTTTATAAACAATTTGGAAGCATAAATCCTCGTTTTCACGCTTTTACATGGCGTCGTTCAAAGCATCATTAGCCAATTTCATGGCCTCTCCCAGGTCTTGATTTTTCAATTACAATCTTGACTCAATCGGGAGTCGGATCGGATTACAATCGACTCAATTTTACCCAAAGCGGGAAAACCATCACACTGCACCCCTAAGGACTTCAGACCTATAAGCCTGTCGTCCTTCCTCCTCAAGACAATGGAGAGAGCCTCCACATTAATCTTTCCATCAACCCAGATGATATCTCGGGATCACAGCATGCGTATAGGAAGGACCGATCCACAGAGACGGCACTTCACGAGATCACTACCTTCGTCGAAAAGGCACTTAGTGACAAGGAATACGCACACATTGCTTTTCTAGACATAGAAGGTGCGTTCAACAACATCCTGCCATGCTCGATAATCAATGCAGAAGTAAGTGTTCCAAGCAGAAGTAATAGCTATCGGAGAAGCACTATGATCTCTAGCACTTACTGGCAATCAAGACACAATCTGTATCTTTTCAGACAGTCAAGCGGAACTCAAAGCCCTTTGCGATTTTTCATCCAACTCCAGGACAGTGAATGACTGTCGCAGATCTTTTAACGAGATGGCAGAACAGCATGACATCCACCTCATATGGTTGCCCGGACATAGGGACCACGAGGGAAATTGCGCCGCTGATGAACTAGCAAGGGCAGGTACTACCAATCCTCTCCTCCCAGAGAAGGAACTTGTAAGCATTCCCTTAGCTACATGTAGGCTAAGATGCAGAGATCACTTTGACCGCGTTGCACTGAGGAAATAGAGAAATCTCCAAAACTGCAGGAACTGACGCATGATATGGTCTATCCGCTCTAGGAAAAGATCAATGATGCTTATCACTCTCATTAGGCAGGACTGCAGTCTTGCAGCCAAGGCCATCACTAGGTGGTTAGATTAGCGGTGCCACACTATGATTACTGCAGGAGCTGTGGGGATGTAGAAGAGGAAGAGACAGCCGCACACCTCCTGTGTCATTGCACTCACGGACCTAACACACCTCGCTCCACGCAGACTTGTTACCTTCATCCGGGAAGCTTGATGGGACCGCGAGCCGCAGGAAAAATAGCACACTCTTGGGCACATTAGTAGATAGGAGGGGGAGGTCCCCTTGTAAGACCTCTTGCCTATGCGGTATCATATGTAGCCCCGGCGGCTCAAGTGGATGGGGGTGTCAGTGACTGGCCCCGCATCGTCGCCTCAACTTAACATAACTCATTTCTATTGTCATTGCATTTGTTCTTTGGTTTGTAGTTTCATATCAAAGGAAAATTTAACTTGATAATCTGAAATGACCTCCAAATGTGTATCCGAAGTAGAACTTACCTACACCATTTCAAAGGGATGGCAGTCATTTTTTTTTATCCACCTTGTTTCACTAGGGAAAAATATTATGCTTAGCTAGCTCCCTTATTGAACAACACTGTTTTTTTTGTTAAGCTCTCATCCATAAGAAGAGCTACAGCTTCATCGGTCAATACTGTCTCAGGATTGAAAATTATGTCTTAGTAGATTTTGGATACCTGTCGTATAAGTTAACTAATAACTTCTTCTAATTTTCTAAATTAAAGGATCTGACCTCAATCCAAATATAAAAAAAAAGTGCAAAAAAGTGTGCGTTCATTTAAAAGAGAACGAAACACAGTCAAAATTTATTGAAACTATTTTTGTTACTCCGTTTGAAAATAATACTTTGTTTTACCTTTTTCTTTTCAGGGGGTACACAAATACACACATTTCAAAAACAACACAAACAATTCTTACAATTGACACCAGTGGCGGATCCACGAGGCGGGGTTTTCGGGTCCGGAACCCCTCATGGTATCATATACTTTCAAATTTTATGCTTTTATTGGGCATTTTGGTGAAGTTGAAACACAAAAATATTAATAGAATTTCGTAATTTATTTTCGAATAGTTAATGCAATAGAAGATAATAACAAAGAAAATAATTACGAATTTAATCAATATGACTGATCAAGAAAAAATATATGTTCCACAAACAATTCTAGTCGCTCTTAAATTTTCTTATGGTTTTTAAAAAAACTTTCTAAGAATTTCGTCTTCAGTCAAAGTTATGCGATGATGAATGTTCAAAGATACAAGACTATTGATACGCTCTTGACCCATCGTGTTTCTCAGATAATCTTTCATTCTCCATTTTCAAAGTAGAAAATGATCGTTCTGAAGTTGCTGGGGTCACGGGTATCACCGCCAAAACCCGTAGGATTTTTTTTGCGGTTTTTGCAAGTTATTCCATTTATGATCTGCAAAAATTCCTTCTATTTAGATTTTCAATGGATATTATTTACTTTACTTTGTTTCAAATTGCACCAAAAATATCTCTTACTCAATTAATTGTCAATAAGTCGTGATTTAGTGATTAGTGATTTTTCTCTGATTCTTTTAAATTAAAAAATTTTGTTTTTAAATTAAATAGAAAATAAATGATAATCTATTAGTATTATAATCAATCAGATTTTTTGGTACAATATATGAGAAACCTGGCATTATTTTTTAGCCAAATATTATCTGGGAATTTGGGAGATACTCACTGCTAATGCATCAAGTGCATTTTCGATGTTTTGATTGCAGATCCGTTGTCTCCACATTTTGACTTATGAAATGAAATTACTCTCGGAACAATCCAGTATTACTTGGTTAAATTGGTAGAGGCTTGCACATTTCTTCTCGTCGAATCCTTGTTTGAGGAATAGCTGTCCAAAACTTTGAAAAACTGTTTTGGGTTTTTGGAATCGACTCTGAAGATGAGAAATGTAGGTGTCGAGAAAAGGTATGTAAAATGCGATTTTTATTTCAATCTCGTATTCCGAACAAATTTCAGAAACTTTTTATAAACAATTTGGAAGCATAAATCCTCGTTTTCACGCTTTTACATGGCGTCGTTCAAAGCATCATTAGCCAATTTCATGGCCTCTCCCAGGTCTTGATTTTTCAATTACAATCTTGACTCAATCGGGAGTCGGATCGGATTACAATCGACTCAATTTTACCCAAAGCGGGAAAACCATCACACTGCACCCCTAAGGACTTCAGACCTATAAGCCTGTCGTCCTTCCTCCTCAAGACAATGGAGAGAGCCTCCACATTAATCTTTCCATCAACCCAGATGATATCTCGGGATCACAGCATGCGTATAGGAAGGACCGATCCACAGAGACGGCACTTCACGAGATCACTACCTTCGTCGAAAAGGCACTTAGTGACAAGGAATACGCACACATTGCTTTTCTAGACATAGAAGGTGCGTTCAACAACATCCTGCCATGCTCGATAATCAATGCAGAAGTAAGTGTTCCAAGCAGAAGTAATAGCTATCGGAGAAGCACTATGATCTCTAGCACTTACTGGCAATCAAGACACAATCTGTATCTTTTCAGACAGTCAAGCGGAACTCAAAGCCCTTTGCGATTTTTCATCCAACTCCAGGACAGTGAATGACTGTCGCAGATCTTTTAACGAGATGGCAGAACAGCATGACATCCACCTCATATGGTTGCCCGGACATAGGGACCACGAGGGAAATTGCGCCGCTGATGAACTAGCAAGGGCAGGTACTACCAATCCTCTCCTCCCAGAGAAGGAACTTGTAAGCATTCCTTTAGCTACATGTAGGCTAAGATGCAGAGATCACTTTGACCGCGTTGCACTGAGGAAATAGAGAAATCTCCAAAACTGCAGGAACTGACGCATGATATGGTCTATCCGCTCTAGGAAAAGATCAATGATGCTTATCACTCTCATTAGGCAGGACTGCAGTCTTGCAGCCAAGGCCATCACTAGGTGGTTAGATTAGCGGTGCCACACTATGATTACTGCAGGAGCTGTGGGGATGTAGAAGAGGAAGAGACAGCCGCACACCTCCTGTGTCATTGCACTCACGGACCTAACACACCTCGCTCCACGCAGACTTGTTACCTTCATCCGGGAAGCTTGATGGGACCGCGAGCCGCAGGAAAAATAGCACACTCTTGGGCACATTAGTAGATAGGAGGGGGAGGTCCCCTTGTAAGACCTCTTGCCTATGCGGTATCATATGTAGCCCCGGCGGCTCAAGTGGATGGGGGTGTCAGTGACTGGCCCCGCATCGTCGCCTCAACTTAACATAACTCATTTCTATTGTCATTGCATTTGTTCTTTGGTTTGTAGTTTCATATCAAAGGAAAATTTAACTTGATAATCTGAAATGACCTCCAAATGTGTATCCGAAGTAGAACTTACCTACACCATTTCAAAGGGATGGCAGTCATTTTTTTTTATCCACCTTGTTTCACTAGGGAAAAATATTATGCTTAGCTAGCTCCCTTATTGAACAACACTGTTTTTTTTTGTTAAGCTCTCATCCATAAGAAGAGCTACAGCTTCATCGGTCAATACTGTCTCAGGATTGAAAATTATGTCTTAGTAGATTTTGGATACCTGTCGTATAAGTTAACTAATAACTTCTTCTAATTTTCTAAATTAAAGGATCTGACCTCAATCCAAATATAAAAAAAAGTGCAAAAAGTGTGCGTTCATTTAAAAGAGAACGAAACACAGTCAAAATTTATTGAAACTATTTTTGTTACTCCGTTTGAAAATAATACTTTGTTTTACCTTTTTCTTTTCAGGGGGTACACAAATACACACATTTCAAAAACAACACAAACAATTCTTACAATTGACACCAGTGGCGGATCCACGAGGCGGGGGTTTTCGGGTCCGGAACCCCTCATGGTATCATATACTTTCAAATTTTATGCTTTTATTGGGCATTTTGGTGAAGTTGAAACACAAAAATATTAATAGAATTTCGTAATTTATTTTCGAATAGTTAATGCAATAGAAGATAATAACAAAGAGGATAATTACGAATTTAATCAATATGACTGATCAAGAAAAATATATGTTCCACAAACAATTCTAGTCGCTCTTAAATTTTCTTATGGTTTTTAAAAAAACTTTCTAAGAATTTCGTCTTCAGTCAAAGTTATGCGATGATGAATGTTCAAAGATACAAGACTATTGATACGCTCTTGACCCATCGTGTTTCTCAGATAATCTTTCATTCTCCATTTTCAAAGTAGAAAATGATCGTTCTGAAGTTGCTGGGGTCACGGGTATCACCGCCAAAACCCGTAGGATTTTTTTTGCGGTTTTTGCAAGTTATTCCATTTATGATCTGCAAAAATTCCTTCTATTTAGATTTTCAATGGATATTATTTACTTTACTTTGTTTCAAATTGCACCAAAAATATCTCTTACTCAATTAATTGTCAATAAGTCGTGATTTAGTGATTAGTGATTTTTCTCTGATTCTTTTAAATTAAAAAATTTTGTTTTTAAATTAAATAGAAAATAAATGATAATCTATTAGTATTATAATCAATCAGATTTTTTGGTACAATATATGAGAAACCTGGCATTATTTTTTAGCCAAATATTATCTGGGAATTTGGGAGATACTCACTGCTAATGCATCAAGTGCATTTTCGATGTTTTGATTGCAGATCCGTTGTCTCCACATTTTGACTTATGAAATGAAATTACTCTCGGAACAATCCAGTATTACTTGGTTAAATTGGTAGAGGCTTGCACATTTCCTCTCGTCGAATCCTTGTTTGAGGAATAGCTGTCCAAAACTTTGAAAAACTGTTTTGTGTTTTTGGAATCGACTCTGAAGATGAGAAATGTAGGTGTCGAGAAAAGGTATGTAAAATGCGATTTTTATTTCAATCTCGTATTCCGAACAAATTTCAGAAACTTTTTATAAACAATTTGGAAGCATAAATCCTCGTTTTCACGCTTTTACATGGCGTCGTTCAAAGCATCATTAGCCAATTTCATGGCCTCTCCCAGGTCTTGATTTTTCAATTACAATCTTGACTCAATCGGGAGTCGGATAGGATTACAATCGACTCAAGTTTACCCAAAGCGGGAAAACCATCACACTGCACCCCTAAGGACTTCAGACCTATAAGCCTGTCGTCCTTCCTCCTCAAGACAATGGAGAGAGCCTCCACATTAATCTTTCCATCAACCCAGATGATATCTCGGGATCACAGCATGCGTATAGGAAGGACCGATCCACAGAGACGGCACTTCACGAGATCACTACCTTCGTCGAAAAGGCACTTAGTGACAAGGAATACGCACACATTGCTTTTCTAGACATAGAAGGTGCGTTCAACAACATCCTGCCATGCTCGATAATCAATGCAGAAGTAAGTGTTCCAAGCAGAAGTAATAGCTATCGGAGAAGCACTATGATCTCTAGCACTTACTGGCAATCAAGACACAATCTGTATCTTTTCAGACAGTCAAGCGGAACTCAAAGCCCTTGGCGATTTTTCATCCAACTCCAGGACAGTGAATGACTGTCGCAGATCTTTTAACGAGATGGCAGAACAGCATGACATCCACCTCATATGGTTGCCCGGACATAGGGACCACGAGGGAAATTGCGCCGCTGATGAACTAGCAAGGGCAGGTACTACCAATCCTCTCCTCCCAGAGAAGGAACTTGTAAGCATTCCCTTAGCTACATGTAGGCTAAGATGCAGAGATCACTTTGACCGCGTTGCACTGAGGAAATAGAGAAATCTCCAAAACTGCAGGAACTGACGCATGATATGGTCTATCCGCTCTAGGAAAAGATCAATGATGCTTATCACTCTCATTAAGCAGGACTGCAGTCTTGCAGCCAAGGCCATCACTAGGTGGTTAGATTAGCGGTGCCACACTATGATTACTGCAGGAGCTGTGGGGATGTAGAAGAGGAAGAGACCGCCGCACACCTCCTGTGTCATTGCACTCACGGACCTAACACACCTCGCTCCACGCAGACTTGTTACCTTCATCCGGGAAGCTTGATGGGACCGCGAGCCGCAGGAAAAATAGCACACTCTTGGGCACATTAGTAGATAGGAGGGGGAGGTCCCCTTGTAAGACCTCTTGCCTATGCGGTATCATATGTAGCCCCGGCGGCTCAAGTGGATGGGGGTGTCAGTGACTGGCCCCGCATCGTCGCCTCAACTTAACATAACTCATTTCTATTGTCATTGCATTTGTTCTTTGGTTTGTAGTTTCATATCAAAGGAAAATTTAACTTGATAATCTGAAATGACCTCCAAATGTGTATCCGAAGTAGAACTTACCTACACCATTTCAAAGGGATGGCAGTCATTTTTTTTTATCCACCTTGTTTCACTAGGGAAAAATATTATGCTTAGCTAGCTCCCTTATTGAACAACACTGTTTTTTTTTGTTAAGCTCTCATCCATAAGAAGAGCTACAGCTTCATCGGTCAATACTGTCTCAGGATTGAAAATTATGTCTTAGTAGATTTTGGATACCTTTCGTATAAGTTAACTAATAACTTCTTCTAATTTTCTAAATTAAAGGATCTGACCTCAATCCAAATATAAAAAAAGTGCAAAAAAGTGTGCGTTCATTTAAAAGAGAACGAAACACAGTCAAAATTTATTGAAACTATTTTTGTTACTCCGTTTGAAAATAATACTTTGTTTTACCTTTTTCCTTTTCAGGGGGTACACAAATACACACATTTCAAAAACAACACAAACAATTCTTACAATTGACACCAGTGGCGGATCCACGAGGCGGGGGTTTTCGGGTCCGGAACCCCTCATGGTATCATATACTTTCAAATTTTATGCTTTTATTGGGCATTTTGGTGAAGTTGAAACACAAAAATATTAATAGAATTTCGTAATTTATTTTCGAATAGTTAATGCAATAGAAGATAATAACAAAGAGGATAATTACGAATTTAATCAATATGACTGATCAAGAAAAAATATATGTTCCACAAACAATTCTAATCGCTCTTAAATTTTCTTATGGTTTTTAAAAAAACTTTCTAAGAATTTCGTCTTCAGTCAAAGTTATGCGATGATGAATGTTCAAAGATACAAGACTATTGATACGCTCTTGACCCATCGTGTTTCTCAGATAATCTTTCATTCTCCATTTTCAAAGTAGAAAATGATCGTTCTGAAGTTGCTGGGGTCACGGGTATCACCGCCAAAACCCGTAGGATTTTTTTTGCGGTTTTTGCAAGTTATTCCATTTATGATCTGCAAAAATTCCTTCTATTTAGATTTTCAATGGATATTATTTACTTTACTTTGTTTCAAATTGCACCAAAAATATCTCTTACTCAATTAATTGTCAATAAGTCGTGATTTAGTGATTAGTGATTTTTCTCTGATTCTTTTAAATTAAAAATTTTGTTTTTAAATTAAATAGAAAATAAATGATAATCTATTAGTATTATAATCAATCAGATTTTTGGTACAATATATGAGAAACCTGGCATTATTTTTTAGCCAAATATTATCTGGGAATTTGGGAGATACTCACTGCTAATGCATCAAGTGCATTTTCGATGTTTTGATTGCAGATCCGTTGTCTCCACATTTTGACTTATGAAATGAAATTACTCTCGGAACAATCCAGTATTACTTGGTTAAATTGGTAGAGGCTTGCACATTTCTTCTCGTCGAATCCTTGTTTGAGGAATAGCTGTCCAAAACTTTGAAAAACTGTTTTGGGTTTTTGGAATCGACTCTGAAGATGAGAAATGTAGGTGTCGAGAAAAGGTATGTAAAATGCGATTTTTATTTCAATCTCGTATTCCGAACAAATTTCAGAAACTTTTTATAAACAATTTGGAAGCATAAATCCTCGTTTTCACGCTTTTACATGGCGTCGTTCAAAGCATCATTAGCCAATTTCATGGCCTCTCCCAGGTCTTGATTTTTCAATTACAATCTTGACTCAATCGGGAGTCGGATCGGATTACAATCGACTCAATTTTACCCAAAGCGGGAAAACCATCACACTGCACCCCTAAGGACTTCAGACCTATAAGCCTGTCGTCCTTCCTCCTCAAGACAATGGAGAGAGCCTCCACATTAATCTTTCCATCAACCCAGATGATATCTCGGGATCACAGCATGCGTATAGGAAGGACCGATCCACAGAGACGGCACTTCACGAGATCACTACCTTCGTCGAAAACGAAGTCACTTAGTGACAAGGAATACGCACACATTGCTTTTCTAGACATAGAAGGTGCGTTCAACAACATCCTGCCATGCTCGATAATCAATGCAGAAGTAAGTGTTCCAAGCAGAAGTAATAGCTATCGGAGAAGCACTATGATCTCTAGCACTTACTGGCAATCAAGACACAATCTGTATCTTTTCAGACAGTCAAGCGGAACTCAAAGCCCTTTGCGATTTTTCATCCAACTCCAGGACAGTGAATGACTGTCGCAGATCTTTTAACGAGATGGCAGAACAGCATGACATCCACCTCATATGGTTGCCCGGACATAGGGACCACGAGGGAAATTGCGCCGCTGATGAACTAGCAAGGGCAGGTACTACCAATCCTCTCCTCCCAGAGAAGGAACTTGTAAGCATTCCTTTAGCTACATGTAGGCTAAGATGCAGAGATCACTTTGACCGCGTTGCACTGAGGAAATAGAGAAATCTCCAAAACTGCGGGAACTGACGCATGATATGGTCTATCCGCTCTAGGAAAAGATCAATGATGCTTATCACTCTCATTAGGCAGGACTGCAGTCTTGCAGCCAAGGCCATCACTAGGTGGTTAGATTAGCGGTGCCACACTATGATTACTGCAGGAGCTGTGGGGATGTAGAAGAGGAAGAGAAAGCCGCACACCTCCTGTGTCATTGCACTCACGGACCTAACACACCTCGCTCCACGCAGACTTGTTACCTTCATCCGGGAAGCTTGATGGGACCGCGAGCCGCAGGAAAAATAGCACACTCTTGGGCACATTAGTAGATAGGAGGGGGAGGTCCCCTTGTAAGACCTCTTGCCTATGCGGTATCATATGTAGCCCCGGCGGCTCAAGTGGATGGGGGTGTCAGTGACTGGCCCCGCATCGTCGCCTCAACTGAACATAACTCATTTCTATTGTCATTGCATTTGTTCTTTGGTTTGTAGTTTCATATCAAAGGAAAATTTAACTTGATAATCTGAAATGACCTCCAAATGTGTATCCGAAGTAGAACTTACCTACACCATTTCAAAGGGATGGCAGTCATTTTTTTTTTATCCACCTTGTTTCACTAGGGAAAAATATTATGCTTAGCTAGCTCCCTTATTGAACAACACTGTTTTTTTTTGTTAAGCTCTCATCCATAAGAAGAGCTACAGCTTCATCGGTCAATACTGTCTCAGGATTGAAAATTATGTCTTAGTAGATTTTGGATACCTGTCGTATAAGTTAACTAATAACTTCTTCTAATTTTCTAAATTAAAGGATCTGACCTCAATCCAAATATAAAAAAAAAGTGCAAAAAAGTGTGCGTTCATTTAAAAGAGAACGAAACACAGTCAAAATTTATTGAAACTATTTTTGTTACTCCGTTTGAAAATAATACTTTGTTTTACCTTTTTTCTTTTCAGGGGGTACACAAATACACACATTTCAAAAACAACACAAACAATTCTTACAATTGACACCAGTGGCGGATCCACGAGGCGGGGGTTTTCGGGTCCGGAACCCCTCATGGTATCATATACTTTCAAATTTTATGCTTTTATTGGGCATTTTGGTGAAGTTGAAACACAAAAATATTAATAGAATTTCGTAATTTATTTTCGAATAGTTAATGCAATAGAAGATAATAACAAAGAGGATAATTACGAATTTAATCAATATGACTGATCAAGAAAAAATATATGTTCCACAAACAATTCTAGTCGCTCTTAAATTTTCTTATGGTTTTTAAAAAAACTTTCTAAGAATTTCGTCTTCAGTCAAAGTTATGCGATGATGAATGTTCAAAGATACAAGACTGTTGATACGCTCTTGACCCATCGTGTTTCTCAGATAATCTTTCATTCTCCATTTTCAAAGTAGAAAATTATCGTTCTGAAGTTGCTGGGGTCACGGGTATCACCGCCAAAACTCGTAGGATTTTGTTTGCGGTTTTTAAAAGTTATTCCATTTATGATCTGCAAAAATTCCTTCTATTTAGATTTTCAATGGATATTATTTACTTTACTTTGTTTCAAATTGCACCAAAAATATCTCTTACTCAATTAATTGTCAATAAGTCGTGATTTAGTGATTAGTGATTTTTCTCTGATTCTTTTAAATTAAAAAATTTTGTTTTTAAATTAAATAGAAAATAAATGATAATCTATTAGTATTATAATCAATCAGATTTTTGGTACAATATATGAGAAACCTGGCATTATTTTTTAGCCAAATATTATCTGGGAATTTGGGAGATACTCACTGCTAATGCATCAAGTGCATTTTCGATGTTTTGATTGCAGATCCGTTGTCTCCACATTTTGACTTATGAAATGAAATTACTCTCGGAACAATCCAGTATTACTTGGTTAAATTGGTAGAGGCTTGCACATTTCTTCTCGTCGAATCCTTGTTTGAGGAATAGCTGTCCAAAACTTTGAAAAACTGTTTTGTGTTTTTGGAATCGACTCTGAAGATGAGAAATGTAGGTGTCGAGAAAAGGTATGTAAAATGCGATTTTTATTTCAATCTCGTATTCCGAACAAATTTCAGAAACTTTTTATAAACAATTTGGAAGCATAAATCCTCGTTTTCACGCTTTTACATGGCGTCGTTCAAAGCATCATTAGCCAATTTCATGGCCTCTCCCAGGTCTTGATTTTTCAATTACAATCTTGACTCAATCGGGAGTCAGATGGGATTACAATCGACTCAAGTTTACCCAAAGCGGGAAAACCATCACACTGCACCCCTAAGGACTTCAGACCTATAAGCCTGTCGTCCTTCCTCCTCAAGACAATGGAGAGAGCCTCCACATTAATCTTTCCATCAACCCAGATGATATCTCGGGATCACAGCATGCGTATAGGAAGGACCGATCCACAGAGACGGCACTTCACGAGATCACTACCTTCGTCGAAAAGGCACTTAGTGACAAGGAATACGCACACATTGCTTTTCTAGACATAGAAGGTGCGTTCAACAACATCCTGCCATGCTCGATAATCAATGCAGAAGTAAGTGTTCCAAGCAGAAGTAATAGCTATCGGAGAAGCACTATGATCTCTAGCACTTACTGGCAATCAAGACACAATCTGTATCTTTTCAGACAGTCAAGCGGAACTCAAAGCCCTTGGCGATTTTTCATCCAACTCCAGGACAGTGAATGACTGTCGCAGATCTTTTAACGAGATGGCAGAACAGCATGACATCCACCTCATATGGTTGCCCGGACATAGGGACACGAGGGAAATTGCGCCGCTGATGAACTAGCAAGGGCAGGTACTACCAATCCTCTCCTCCCAGAGAAGGAACTTGTAAGCATTCCCTTAGCTACATGTAGGCTAAGATGCAGAGATCACTTTGACCGCGTTGCACTGAGGAAATAGAGAAATCTCCAAAACTGCAGGAACTGACGCATGATATGGTCTATCCGCTCTAGGAAAAGATCAATGATGCTTATCACTCTCATTAAGCAGGACTGCAGTCTTGCAGCCAAGGCCATCACTAGGTGGTTAGATTAGCGGTGCCACACACTATGATTACTGCAGGAGCTGTGGGGATGTAGAAGAGGAAGAGACCGCCGCACACCTCCTGTGTCATTGCACTCACGGACCTAACACACCTCGCTCCACGCAGACTTGTTACCTTCATCCGGGAAGCTTGATGGGACCGCGAGCCGCAGGAAAAATAGCACACTCTTGGGCACATTAGTAGATAGGAGGGGGAGGTCCCCTTGTAAGACCTCTTGCCTATGCGGTATCATATGTAGCCCCGGCGGCTCAAGTGGATGGGGGTGTCAGTGACTGGCCCCGCATCGTCGCCTCAACTTAACATAACTCATTTCTATTGTCATTGCATTTGTTCTTTGGTTTGTAGTTTCATATCAAAGGAAAATTTAACTTGATAATCTGAAATGACCTCCAAATGTGTATCCGAAGTAGAACTTACCTACACCATTTCAAAGGGATGGCAGTCATTTTTTTTTATCCACCTTGTTTCACTAGGGAAAAATATTATGCTTAGCTAGCTCCCTTATTGAACAACAACACTGTTTTTTTTGTTAAGCTCTCATCCATAAGAAGAGCTACAGCTTCATCGGTCAATACTGTCTCAGGATTGAAAATTATGTCTTAGTAGATTTGGGATACCTTTCGTATAAGTTAACTAATAACTTCTTCTAATTTTCTAAATTAAAGGATCTGACCTCAATCCAAATATAAAAAAAAAGTGCAAAAAAGTGTGCGTTCATTTAAAAGAGAACGAAACACAGTCAAAATTTATTGAAACTATTTTTGTTACTCCATTTGAAAATAATACTTTGTTTTACCTTTTTCCTTTTCAGGGGGTACACAAATACACACATTTCAAAAACAACACAAACAATTCTTACAATTGACACCAGTGGCGGATCCACGAGGCGGGGGTTTTCGGGTCCGGAACCCCTCATGGTATCATATACTTTCAAATTTTATGCTTTTATTGGGCATTTTGGTGAAGTTGAAACACAAAAATATTAATAGAATTTCGTAATTTATTTTCGAATAGTTAATGCAATAGAAGATAATAACAAAGAGGATAATTACGAATTTAATCAATATGACTGATCAAGAAAAAATATATGTTCCACAAACAATTCTAGTCGCTCTTAAATTTTCTTATGGTTTTTAAAAAAACTTTTTAAGAATTTCGTCTTCAGTCAAAGTTATGCGATGATGAATGTTCAAAGATACAAGACTATTGATACGCTCTTGACCCATCGTGTTTCTCAGATAATCTTTCATTCTCCATTTTCAAAGTAGAAAATTATCGTTCTGAAGTTGCTGGGGTCACGGGTATCACCGCCAAAACTCGTAGGATTTTGTTTGCGGTTTTTGAAAGTTATTCCATTTATGATCTGCAAAAATTCCTTCTATTTAGATTTTCAATGGATATTATTTACTTTACTTTGTTTCAAATTGCACCAAAAATATCTCTTACTCAATTAATTGTCAATAAGTCGTGATTTAGTGATTAGTGATTTTTCTCTGATTCTTTTAAATTAAAAAATTTTGTTTTTAAATTAAATAGAAAATAAATGATAATCTATTAGTATTATAATCAATCAGATTTTTTGGTACAATATATAAGAAACCTGGCATTATTTTTTAGCCAAATATTATCTGGGAATTTGGGAGATACTCACTGCTAACTGCACTGTTTTGATTGCAGATCCGTTGTCTCCACATTTTGACTTATGAAATGAAATTACTCTCGGAACAATCCAGTATTACTTGGTTAAATTGGTAGAGGCTTGCACATTTCTTCTCGTCGAATCCTTGTTTGAGGAATAGCTGTCCAAAACTTTGAAAAACTGTTTTGTGTTTTTGGAATCGACTCTGAAGATGAGAAATGTAGGTGTCGAGAAAAGGTATGTAAAATGCGATTTTTATTTCAATCTCGTATTCCGAACAAATTTCAGAAACTTTTTATAAACAATTTGGAAGCATAAATCCTCGTTTTCACGCTTTTACATGGCGTCGTTCAAAGCATCATTAGCCAATTTCATGGCCTCTCCCAGGTCTTGATTTTTCAATTACAATCTTGACTCAATCGGGAGTCGGATCGGATTACAATCGACTCAAGTTTACCCAAAGCGGGAAAACCATCACACTGCACCCCTAAGGACTTCAGACCTATAAGCCTGTCGTCCTTCCTCCTCAATACAATGGAGAGAGCCTCCACATTAATCTTTCCATCAACCCAGATGATATCTCGGGATCACAGCATGCGTATAGGAAGGACCGATCCACAGAGACGGCACTTCACGAGATCACTACCTTCGTCGAAAACGAAGTCACTTAGTGACAAGGAATACGCACACATTGCTTTTCTAGACATAGAAGGTGCGTTCAACAACATCCTGCCATGCTCGATAATCAATGCAGAAGTAAGTGTTCCAAGCAGAAGTAATAGCTATCGGAGAAGCACTATGATCTCTAGCACTTACTGGCAATCAAGACACAATCTGTATCTTTTCAGACAGTCAAGCGGAACTCAAAGCCCTTGGCGATTTTTCATCCAACTCCAGGACAGTGAATGACTGTCGCAGATCTTTTAACGAGATGGCAGAACAGCATGACATCCACCTCATATGGTTGCCCGGACATAGGGACCACGAGGGAAATTGCGCCGCTGATGAACTAGCAAGGGCAGGTACTACCAATCCTCTCCTCCCAGAGAAGGAACTTGTAAGCATTCCCTTAGCTACATGTAGGCTAAGATGCAGAGATCACTTTGACCGCGTTGCACTGAGGAAATAGAGAAATCTCCAAAACTGCAGGAACTGACGCATGATATGGTCTATCCGCTCTAGGAAAAGATCAATGATGCTTATCACTCTCATTAAGCAGGACTGCAGTCTTGCAGCCAAGGCCATCACTAGGTGGTTAGATTAGCGGTGCCACACTATGATTACTGCAGGAGCTGTGGGGATGTAGAAGAGGAAGAGACCGCCGCACACCTCCTGTGTCATTGCACTCACGGACCTAACACACCTCGCTCCACGCAGACTTGTTACCTTCATCCGGGAAGCTTGATGGGACCGCGAGCCGCAGGAAAAATAGCACACTCTTGGGCACATTAGTAGATAGGAGGGGGAGGTCCCCTTGTAAGACCTCTTGCCTATGCGGTATCATATGTAGCCCCGGCGGCTCAAGTGGATGGGGGTGTCAGTGACTGGCCCCGCATCGTCGCCTCAACTTAACATAACTCATTTCTATTGTCATTGCATTTGTTCTTTGGTTTGTAGTTTCATATCAAAGGAAAATTTAACTTGATAATCTGAAATGACCTCCAAATGTGTATCCGAAGTAGAACTTACCTACACCATTTCAAAGGGATGGCAGTCATTTTTTTTTTATCCACCTTGTTTCACTAGGGAAAAATATTATGCTTAGCTAGCTCCCTTATTGAACAACACTGTTTTTTTTTGTTAAGCTCTCATCCATAAGAAGAGCTACAGCTTCATCGGTCAATACTGTCTCAGGATTGAAAATTATGTCTTAGTAGATTTTGGATACCTTTCGTATAAGTTAACTAATAACTTCTTCTAATTTTCTAAATTAAAGGATCTGACCTCAATCCAAATATAAAAAAAAAGTGCAAAAAAGTGTGCGTTCATTTAAAAGAGAACGAAACACAGTCAAAATTTATTAAAACTATTTTTGTTACTCCATTTGAAAATAATACTTTGTTTTACCTTTTTCCTTTTCAGGGGGTACACAAATACACACATTTCAAAAACAACACAAACAATTCTTACAATTGACACCAGTGGCGGATCCACGAGGCGGGGGTTTTCGGGTCCGGAACCCCTCATGGTATCATATACTTTCAAATTTTATGCTTTTATTGGGCATTTTGGTGAAGTTGAAACACAAAAATATTAATAGAATTTCGTAATTTATTTTCGAATAGTTAATGCAATAGAAGATAATAACAAAGAGGATAATTACGAATTTAATCAATATGACTGATCAAGAAAAAATATATGTT